TTTTCTATAATTTCCGCTCCATTAACATTAGTGCCATGTATTCGTGCCGTTTGAGGGGAAGATGACATATAAGGCAGTTTCTTCTTCGTCTTTAAGGTGTTTTTAGTATAGCATGTTGAAACGCTAGATGACGACACTGCAGCAGTGCAACTACATAATATAAAATTCAGTTAGTTACACTAAGCATTTTATACCCAATGACATACGCATCAAATATTAAATTTTGTACATTAAATCCTCAATTAGTAAAATACAAACACTGTGAGCATTCATGTATTTTAAAAACAGCTAAATTAAAGTTAGGTTCATATAGGTAATGGGTTATAGTTCTCCTACAGATCTTTATGATCCAATCACAGCGGCGATTCTATTCCAGCTTGGCGACACAGCTTTTCGTACTTTTCTCTGCTTTTTGTTACTGAACGTAAAATTACAGATTAAACTATTTTAAAATTACTGATTTACTGTCACCGATCTGTCATCGTTTTCGACCAATACCTGTGAGTCAACGGACTGCAACAGGAGTGGGGATGTAAACATGCTGTGCCTTCTTCTCGTGGAAGCATGGTACACGTATACTTAAATGAACGTTGAAAATCATGATCTTTAATTTATATAAATTACTAGTTATGTAGTATTTTATAATTCTATATACGTTTTATTACTAATAAAAAATAAAAATAAAAATATAGTACACCCCTAGCCAAAACAACGTGTCGACACAGAGAACTCTCCTTAAGCGGCACGAATCCAAGATGCCAGGTATATTTATATCTGTATTAGCGGCACCTGTCATACTAAAATTCTATTATGGTAAATAAACGTGCGCGGCTATCGAGAACGTATGAAAACAATGTAAAAAAAAATATTAATTTGATTTAACTAAAACGTATAATTAAAATGTCAGACGAATCCGAGTACGACGTAGAACCAGAAGAATTTGATATTTATAAACAAAAGTACCAATTGCTACTAGATAGATGTGAAGTTCTACAGCAGGTTTAAATTTAACTTTAATACTTAGAACTACTAACAATTCTTTTATGTTGTGAATCTTATTAAATTATTTCCAATTTTAGGAAAATGAAAGATTGGTTTACCGAATTCAAAGAGTAAGAAAACTTCTAAAGCGCACGAGAAAGGAAAAAAAGTTAGTTCAATTTCTAGGTTATGTATTGATCATACCATAATATTGTCTGTTATTTTTAAGATAAAAATTATTGTACCTGCTTAATGCTTTATCATATATTATTTTTTTTTTAAATGACGTGCTTTGATAGAATATTTTGATACCGTAGATTTTTAATCAATCGTTTGGATAAACATGGTGATCGTTGGAGAGAAGTACCTATGGGCGTTCTTGAAGAAAATAATGTATTCCAAGCAACATCTAAACAAGAGAAAAGTGCAAAGGCCAATGCTCACAATTCGAAAGACGAAAGAACAAAAAAAGGAACAAAAAGGAAAGGTGCAAAAACAGATCCTAATGCGCCAAAAAGACCAGCGAATCCATTTTTCCAATTTTGTCAAGAGCAGAGACCTCGTGTTATGGAACGCTTAGCTGGTGAACCAGAACCAAGCAAACAAGAACTCACTAGACAACTTGCAACTACTTGGAAATCTCTTAGTTCTGAAGATAAGAAAGTATGCATTTAAGAGAAAGTTATTTATATTTGTGTATTTGTATTGAATATTTATCATTTGCATTTCTTTTTCAGGTATATTATGACATGTATGAACGATCCAAAGAGAAATATGTTGCTGAAATGCAAATTTATAATAAAAAGTCAGAAGACACACCAAATCAAATGTCTTTAAACATAACATAGTATTTATATTAAAGATAAATATTATTTGTAAATACGTAATTTAGAATCAAATATTTGCACATATGTCAATATTTATGTATAGTAATACAAAATAAACTATAAATAAGATTAATAAAAATTGATCATGTAATAAAATATATGACAACAAATAAAATTTTGTTTAGGAAGAACGTTTTGTGTTGTTGAAAGGAAGAACGTATAATTACTGTTGTGACTTTTGAAACAATAATAAATTTATACTTTGAAATTGTCTTTCTCCCTTCTAAGGAATGCCATGGTGTGAATTGGATCTTTCTGTTTGGCATGATCCATAACAGATTGTTCATGAACTCGCATAAATGGATTTGTTAATTTCTCATCTTGAATAGTACTAGGTACAGTAGGGCAATGTTTTTCGCGTTGTACATGAATTGATTCTATTTTTTGACGAATAGCTTCATTTTCAGGCTCTACATGTTGTCCAAATTTCAAGTTATTTTCTGTATACTCGTGGCCACAATACACTTTCTGTGGAGCATTCAAAATATTTTTCGTTTATACACAATATTGCAAATACGAAAATAGACATAATTGTCTACTTACAGTTTCATTAGGTAATGATCCTAAAATCTTAATGAGCGCTTTGTACATTTGCTCCGCATCGCCTTCAAAAAATCTACCACAACCTCCAGCAAAGAGTGTATCTCCTATTCAATTACATTGATTACTTCTTAATAAACTTATAAGTAAAAGAATACGTGATCTTATCTCTTTACCAGTGAAAACTGCCGGTGGATCTTGATTTCCTGTGATATAATAACAAATATGTCCTCTGGTATGACATGGTGTTCCAAGACATTGAACTTTTAGTTCCCCAATATTAAAACAATCATCGTGTTTCACTTTATGTGTAAGCGCCTCTATTCTATCGTCACCTCCATACACTTGTAGATTATCAAACATCTTACATAGTTTAGCATTTCCTCCAGCATGATCCCAATGGTGATGGGTAGTTAAAACCTTTGTCAAATTCACATTATTTTGTTCAATGGCAGTAGCAACACTATCAGGATCAACAGGATCAACAATAGCAGCTTCCTGTGTTGTTTCGTCGATAATCTTTCAGAATTACAAAATTCGATATTAAATTTTGTTTTAAATAATACAATAAAATTCTCTATCATAAATTTTAATTAACTTGTAATATAGTTGGAAAAGCTATAATAATTTAAAAATTCTGTACACTACGGAAAGTGAAAATGTAAAAAATAAATAAAAAATACGCACAAGATACATATAATTATCTTGAAGTGCTGGTAATATTTGAACCTTCATATTTGGTTGCATTATTATTGTAGAAACTGTTGCGCCAAAATTATTTTTGGAAATACTTTTTGCTAAAAACGTAAAGATAATATATTTATATACAAAATAACGTAAACATTCTAATAAATATTTAGCTAAGCTATGCATTTGAATTCATAGTAAAAAATCAATCCTATATAAAATAAATTGATAAAGTGCATGTATATTTTACTTAAGTTATCATTATTAAGTATTTGTGCAAAATTTATAACAATATTAATACCTTTATTTCAAGAATTATTTACCACCATTTAGTCTTGTTTTTAATGCCATGTCAGAATATTATTTTATCATACAACGTTATTTTTACTGTCGCAAGAAATATTTTTATACAAAAAATATATATTTAAATGTACATATAAATACAGACTCATATGAATAAATTATATCAAACAATCGCCATAAAATTTGCAATACTCCAATTTACTTATCCAAACAGTATAACTCATGACTTTCTTGAATTTAATAAATTAAAAATACAAAATGATAGCGTAGTAGCGAAAAGTATACTTAAAAACGGAATACCCTTGAAATATAGAGATGTTAACGTATTTTCAAGCCAAGGACTCGCACGAAATAATGCATTTAACATATTTACTAAATATATTTAATTTCGAACAACTTAATGTGATTCTATATGTTTTATACTATCAATTACTCAATATTAAAAATCAGGCGAAACATTACTTGCCTGCTAACTACGTAGTACTATCAAAAAGCTGGTTTCAACCGATCGCCGAAACACGATGTAATACCGGTGATAGGCATTAGGTTACGTACATACGTAGATAGAGATCCATCAATTCGTGCCGTTTGAGGGGAATATGACATAATACAATATTCCACATATGTACCATGCTTCCACGAGAAGAAGGCACAGCGTGTTTACATCCCCACTTTTGTTGCAGTCCGTTGACTCACAGGTATTGGTTGAAAACGGTGACGAAGATCGGTGACAGCCAATCAGTGTACTGCAGCAAGAGTGGGGATGTAAACACGCTGTGCCTTCTTCTCGTGGAAGGACGATACATACGTGTGCATTCTCTTTTCTTTTTCATCAAGCTTATAGCGTAGAAAAGCAGGCTATCTTTTTAACGCATGCATGCAGAAAATGACATAGTATTCCTATCAAGTGAAAATGAATATTACATGACCTCATGCTTGATTACTTTAGAAAATTATTTTTAAATTTTTAGAAAACGAATAAAGTTACTCTATGACGGATGTAAATTCAATAACTTTTTAACGAAGTCTCAGTCAAGAAATTGTTATTCTTGATTTTCGTCTTATTTTGGCCTCTAAAATCTCCTATTAAAATTTTTCCCAGGTGTGGCCGAACACTCTGTATACAGGGTGTCCCAGCTAAAGTGTGACAGTCGTGATACTGCAATAACTATTGATGATACGGAAAAATTGTTTATATGAAAATTGCAGGATAAAATAGGATCTTTATTCTGGCGTAAACGGAAATTTTATTTATGTTATTAATTTCAAAGATACGTTGATGAAGTTTCGTTTTTTAAATGGAACTATATATTTTTTTTTGGATCATGCGATAGTGTTTTTCAATACGAATTCATTAACCTGCAATTTATTTACCCGATTTTCATTAGTTTTCAAGATATAGCGCTTGGAAATTTACTGATTGTCAGTGATTAGATTTTACAGATAAGGAGAGGGGATTGTATTTATCGCATTGAATTCTCCTCAAATGGCAAGAATTAGTGGGGACACGTGTGAAACGTGCACACTGTCGGCGTCGAATTAACCACTGTTCAGTACATGAATACAGACATTATAGTGTAACTTAATTAGTCATCGATTTTGCTTAGTTATGAATGAAAAATAAAACGATTTTTCTAATTTAATGACAATTCATGTAAATATTTGTTTAATTTATTTAAGATGTCTGCAAGTAGCTCGAAAGATGTTATAATAATAGATGAATATCAAGGTTTGTTATTAAGTTTATAAGAAATGAACATTAAAAAAGAAAAGATAAATCAATTATTAATTATTATTATATATAAATATGTGTAACGTATATAAAATTTTTATGAATTTTGATATATATGTTTGTTATTATTTTATACCGAAGGACATTTTCGCTCATCGATAACTAGTATTGAATTATGTAAACTTTAAGTAAATATATCTAATTACACTATTATAACTTTTAAATTCCATGATTCTGATTCTATTTTTAAATTTTAAAATATTAAGATAGTTAAAAAATGCAATAATCTTTTCAGTTACCGAAGAAGATGAAATTGCTGCTATTGATTATGAATTGAAACAAATCGAGAATGAATTACAAACACTCGAAGATCGTAAAAAAGTTTTAATCCAACGTAAAGAAAAATTACGGGATAATGCACTTTTGAAGAAGAGTTTATCTGTATCGCAAAAGAATTGGAATAACGAAGATTTTAGTTGGTCCAAAGATCTTAAAAAGGCTTTAAAGAATGTTTTCAAAATTGAAAAATTCAGAGAATTACAATTGCCAACTATGAATGCAATTTTCTGTAAAGAAGATGTTATTTTAGTTATGCCTACGGGCGGTGGTAAAAGTTTGTGTTATCAGTTACCTGCTGTTATTAGTAAAGGTATTACGATAGTAGTTTCACCATTAATTGCATTGATGGAGGATCAATTACATGGGTTACAAAAGGTTAATGTAAAAGCTATGATGCTAAGCTCAAAATGTAATAAAGAGAATGTCAAAATTATAATGAATGCACTTGTGGATAAGAACTCTGATCTAAAACTAATTTACGTTACGCCAGAATATATGGCGAAATCTAATCGTTTTATGAGTAAATTACAAAAAGCCTTTGAAATGAAACGTTTGGATCGTTTTGCAATAGACGAAGTTCATTGTTGTAGCCAATGGGGACATGATTTCAGACCAGATTATAAATTTTTAGGAATTCTAAAATCCATGTTCACAAATATACCAATTCTTGGTCTGACCGCAACTGCTCCCGCTAAAATTATTGTAGACGTTCAGAAAATGTTAGATATCCAAGGTTGCTTGGTTCTAAGAGCTACATTCAATAGGCCAAATCTGTTTTACGAGGTTCGCCGTAAGCCAGGAGATAAGAATACATGTTTAGCTATGATAGAAAATTTATTAAAAAATCGATTCAAAGATAAGTCTGGAATAATTTACACAACTACTATTAAGGATGCAGAACAATTGACAACTGATTTAAGAACATTAGGCTTGAAAGTTGGATGTTATCATGCGATGCTAGAGGCTGAGTACAGATCAGAGGTATATTCTAAGTGGATATCTGGAAAATACCAAGCTGTAATAGCCACAATTGCTTTTGGATTGGGTATTGATAAACCAGATGTACGTTTTGTTATCCATCACTGTATTTCAAAGTCAATGGAAAACTTTTATCAGGAGAGCGGTCGTGCGGGTAGAGATGGAAAGAAATCAGTGTGTCTAGTCCTATATAGACTACCGGATGTATTCAAATTAAGCACAATGGTATTTCAAGATAAAGTTGGTTTACAAAATTTGTACAAGGTACTATTATACTGTTTAGATCAATCTTCGTGTAGACGTAGCATAATTGCAACCCATTTTGAAGAAACTTGGAATAAAAGTGATTGTGCAGAAATGTGTGATCATTGTCGCAAACCTAAAGATAAGATAGAAGTGAATATAGTAGTATATTGTAGACAGTTGTACGAAATAATGACTAAAGCAGTACAAAGCGAAACAAGATTGACCGCCTTAAAACTTATAGATGCTTGGTATGGTAAAGGTGCATCAACTTTACGGGTATCTTCCGTACCAATACCAAGGTTTACAAGAGAATCGGGCGAAGCTATAGTAGGGCATTTACTTGTAAATGGTTATTTGCAAGAAGATTTTCATTTTTCTGCATATTCTACAATATCGTATTTGAAACGTGGTCCCAAAGCAGTATTAGCATTTAATAATAACCATGAAATACTTTTTAATTATGAACTGCATTAATGTATATAATTACATTAGATCATCTGTGATAAATATTATTACAATAGTGAAATAATGTAATTTTGTGATACAGTATCAGTAATAGCATTATTATAAATAATATTTATAAAATTGCTATCATAATCAAAATTTATAATTTTTACAATGTCTTTAAATATGCATATTAAAAGTGCAAAAATTTTTTTACCCCTAGGAAAAAGAATGTTTCCAGAAGCCAATAAACATTTTCTAATATACGTGTATATGTTTACATTTTTAAGTAGTGTTTTAGATAATTCGAAAAAAACAAAGATCGTATCTGTAACAAGTTTTGGTTTGCCTTTAATATAAAAATTACTTCATAGATGTAAACGCGAGTGTAATCGATCATCGAAAAATACTTCTTAAAATGAGTTTTATAAATAACATAGGTAAAAATAAAAAAGTAATTCAAACGTATCTAATACAAAGAAAAAATCAATAAAAACAGCATATACGCGTTGAGCAATGGTATGTCGGCGGCTTGGATAGTAAGCCAACCACCAGGTTCACGATCAGATGGAAATATTGATCCTGGATAAGGGGCATCTGTGTTCCGTCTGTTGGCAAACACGTTTTACCACATCGTCACTGAGCAGTGGGTTAAAGTGATATTCGATCTACAATTCATTCATTGTTAGAAATTTAACAACGAGCATCGTGTAATTGTGGTCAATCATGAATGGTGGTAACGATCGTTTTGTATTTCGTGATGTACGTACACACGTTTTTCCGTGAAAGCCCGTTCGTGCATACAACGAACAGTGACGTGTCATCTATAAGTTGTTAATTTATAAATCCATTCAAATCGAAGGTAACTATACAAAGTTTCCCCGAGAATATTAAACATAAAAGAATTCTCGACGTCCTTTGGTCTTTGTTATAAATTCGACGAAAGTTTGGCAATATGTTATCTCCTTGACATAAGGGTAACACCGTACAAGTAGAGATTAGAAACTTTGGAATTAAGATGCATGCTTCTCCGTATATGTATATATATTATCATCAGCTTTGTGTATGTATCGAGGCTAATTGGCGCGGTAACTCGCTTGCATGCTTAAATAGGCATATGATTGCGGGAAACGCTACAGAACGAGAAATCAGTTCATTGTAGCATTTCGATGCAGCTGTATTCGCGCGCTTCTGCGCGACGAAGTTTGACCCCTGCAGTCCCCATGCCCTGCAGGAACATTGAAGTATCTCGCAAGAATCATCGAAGGGAATCAGTGGATCTGGTACTTCCAATTCTTAAGCGTATACTGTGCTGTTCTTACAAATCAAGACTGTTTAGATTCATAACGATTCATTGATTCACAGTTGGACATAAACGATGCCTCGTAATCACTGTAACGATCGTCATTCGGGTCTTTTTTATAACCCTACGGCAATTGATAATTGCGTGAGAAATTTTTAACCGCGAATAACGAAAATTTCAAACGATGCTTTCGTAAAAGTAATTAAATGACTTGGATGCACCGATCTGCCTCGAACGAAGATGCCTCTGCCAAACATTCTCAGAAAGGCAAGCAGTTACATTTTAGGCGACTGCAACCAAGACAATCGCCGTACCATGTACCACGATGGCGAGGCGTTATTTTGTAAAAATAACGTCTGCGTTCATCCCCCGACATTAATGAGACAAAATTCCGATGTGGTGCATCATCCCGGATACATGGCCATAACATGCAGACTCAATAAAAATTCAAATATACCAACGCTGCATCTTAGTTGGATTCCTAACAGTACGCTTCGCAAACATCCAACGACATTAGAAAATTTAAACGTGAGAAAACTCGACTGCGTTGCTCATCGAGACATCGATGTCAGTTCGCATCATTCTCAGATATCCGAGGAAAGCTGTGATTTAAAGTACGATTATGAAAGTGCGGGAGACAAAGTTGATGTCTGTTTAGAGGTAAAGGAACCTATAAATTGCGGGGATTGCGAGCGCGTTTGTTCCGGTGGATTTCCACGCAATTCACGCCTTGAAACTGATGACGGGAAAACGAAGAACGATGCAAGAGAAAACTCGTGCGACGATCAAACCGTGTTTATATCAGAGACCAAAGAAACTTCAACCACCGATGCCTCTCAACAAACGAACCATTATCAATCTAACAGTTCGCCAGTCACCATACACGAAAAGAGCGATCATAGTATTAATTTGAATCGTTTGCGCTCTGAATCTTTGGGCTTGAAATATGACGAGAGTCGACATTATAAAGATAAAAAGTCTATTGAAATTCACGAGAACGATGGAAAAAGCATCGACGAGGAACTTAGATATCCGTATTGCGATGATATCAGTCTTAAGAGTCGTAGTATGTCGTTAACCTCTACGTGCAGTTTATCCGTTGGTATAGCTTCGGATGGTATGTAAATAAATGATTATATCGTTGATTTTACTATGGGTTACAGGGGTTATTAATGTGTAAAATTTACCTTTTCTTAGCCGAAGAGATTCCATCATGGATGAGGTCGCCGGAACTTCTGGCTTTGCAGCATAACCTCACATTTCCTGAAAGTGCAACAGCTTCGCCAGTGACATTACGTAGAGCACACAGATGTAGAAGATTTTCCGTTGATCTCAGTGAAATGAGATCTCTAAGGTTATTCTTTGCTGACCCAGCCTGTACCTGTGGTCAATTAGTAGTTGCGAGTAGAGAGAGTCAATATAAAATCCTGCATTTTCATCATGGTGGTTTAGATCGATTGGCGGCGACTTTACATCAATGGCACCAGCTGCTTTATCCACGACTAGATACGGATGCAGAAGAAACCCTGCCATATAGGTAAGATTTCATTGATACCATAACTATTGATACTCTATAAGGTATTTATAAAATTTACTATAATATAGGCATTTCATGGTATGCCGACCAGAGGTAAGTCGTGATGAGTTGCATCCAGAGGAAGGACAGGTGCCGATGATCACGTCGTTAGCTTGGAAGGATTTATTGAATGAAAGGGGACAGGTAGAAGATGATCTTGCCCTTCGTAAAGGAATATTCTTTGGTGGATTAGAACCTGCATTAAGGAAAATTGTATGGCCTTTTCTGCTTCATTGTTATTCGTATCCAAGTACTTACGAAGATAGGGAACAGATCGACATCATTCGTAGACAGGAATATGAAGAAATACAAAAACGTAGAACAAGCATGAATGCAGAACAGGCGGAGCATTTTTGGCGAAATGTTGTATGTATTGTAGAGAAAGATGTTGTTCGCACCGACAGAGGGAATCCTTACTATGCAGGGGAAGATAATCCAAATATTGATGTAATGAAGTATGTTTACTTATTATCAATAATAATTTATAATTCTGTTATTTATTATTAATAATATTAATATACTCCTTTTACAGAAATATTCTACTGAATTATGCAGTTTATAATTCTCGATTGGGATATACACAAGGTATGTCCGATTTGTTAGCTCCGTTGCTGGCAGAGCTTAATTCTGAAATTGAAGCCTTTTGGTGTTTTGCTGGTTTGATGCAAAGATCTGTAGCTGTATGCACACCTACTGATGTAGACATGGACAGAAATCTGTGCTATTTAAGGGAATTAGTTAGAATAATGGTACCAAACTTTTATGCACATCTTCAAAAGCATATAGATGCCTTAGAACTTTTGTTTTGTCACCGATGGATACTTCTGTAAGTATCCGTATATATTCTTCCGTTATAGGCCCCAAAAGCAGTCAACACCAAGGCAATAACCTTTGATGTCACTACAATGTTTCATTAAGTCCCAGTTTCTGAAACATTGTAGCAACAAAAACTCGTCGAAGGTTGTTGTCATGAAGTTGACTGCTTATGGGGCCTTTCAAACATAATACAGTATTTTTTCATTAAATGCTCGGCATCCCCTTCCCCCGGCTATCTTACTTGAATATTTTTGTAATTTGTCAGAACAACTATTTGACAAATGTTAAGTAAAAGTAGTTGAAATTTTATCATGCTTGATTCCATTTTAAACAGAAAAACTTCACTAGTACGTTAAATGAACTATATCAAGAAAATGGCAAACGTAAAGAAGTTTTAATTTTACATTTGCAAATCGATACACGGGCATTTAAACTTCTTTCAAACTCTCATTCCTTCTTTGTCTTTCGCTAGCTCGAATAGTGAGCTAGCTAGCAAGCAAGGAGTGAGCTAGCTAGCTAGGAAGGAGTGAGCTAGCTACCTACTCTATAACCGCAGAGATTAAACGAGGTTTGAGTTTTGTGGATCCAGTAGCTAAATGACCGGTCTCAAGCTACGAGCACTTACCAAAAAAATACTGTATACTCGGACCAACGAGACGAGTCAGCAAACGAAAACAAACGTCCCTAAATGGGGCTCGTAAGTGTCCTTTAGCAGCCAATGACCGTAACCGCAACATCGACTACATCGAGCACTTTGTTTTTCTTCGCTGATTCGTCTCGTTTACCCCGAGTATAGTTTGATTGCATACAAATTTGTTCTTACTAATTACCATATATCCTTCAGGTGTTTAAAACGAGAGTTCCCCACTGAAGTAGCATTAGTAATGTGGGAAGCTTGTTGGGTTAATTATTTGACAGATCATTTTCATCTATTTCTTTGCCTTGCTATAATGTGTGTTTACGCAGACGATGTAATAGCACAAGATCTCAGAACAGACGAAATGCTTTTGCATTTCAGTTCCTTAGCTATGTATATGGATGGAAATCTCATATTGAGAAAGGCAAGAGGTCTGCTTCATCATTTTCGTCAGCTTGTACGTTTACCATGTACATTAGCAGGACTTTGTCGCCAATGCGGTCCAGGAATGTGGGATAGCACTCATGACCCTGTTATAGAATGCGTTGGTCATGACGATGCACCATGTCCATACTTGAACAATTACGAATAACGACCTAAATTAACGAAAGTGATAAAGGCATCCTACTGTTAAAGCTTTTAAATTATTCTTACGTTAAATAATAAATTAAATACTACTCTTACGTAAATTAAATAAGTTCTATAAGACACAGTTGACTAAATGTTGTAAGTAATAACAGAAGTTGATGAAAGTAATATTTGACTTATATACTGTTTCTATGAAGAAATTCTTAATCAGTTCAATATGAAAGGCAAAAAATTGTACGTTTACATCGTGATGAATCTTATTTCCATAATTTCTCAACATATAAATGTCGATTTGAGAATGTTCGATAATAAATAAGAAACAGAAAGACATATCCTAAAATTCAATGTTATACGAAGTTTGTTTAAAATAATCTTGACAAATTTTAATAACGATGCATCTACAACTCCTGCAAAACAAAAAAGTATTATGTACTAAATAATTAGGCGAAACTCGTATGATTACGATGAGTTCTGACCGAATACCTGTAGTACAATTAAAGACTGACGACCAAAGGAGAATGGAGTAGTACAAGCATCCTTGGCTTCAAAATTTCCAAGTAGAAATGGAAGCTTTTTCATCGTGTAAACATCGTGTTATTTATTTACTACAAACGGAAATGTGCCATTTTAGAGCTTGGTACAAAATCTAGTCTGACAGCGGCAAAATAAATCAAATATAACTTAATATAAGTATCGCATAAACATTTATTACAAGTCTGTTCAAAGTTCTTGGTCAATTAATGATATACGTGTTCACTTTGGGATATTTACCTGTGTGGTATTTTTCAATATTTTTTTCTACAAAACAATTTTAAATTTATTGTTAGTTTCACACATTCGCTACATACAATGTATCATTTTCATTATTAAATATAGCAAATTTCTTATAAATAAAACTACATCACAAATTTATACATATTATAAGTATCTTGATGACCATTTCTTTTTCTTATTTTCGTAACCCAAAGTGTATTCATACTAGTCTATTTGCTCAGAACAAATCGAGAATATAAAATAATAAAGAAACACTTCGTTCTATCTTTTAAATTATTTCATCTTTTATCTAAATAGATGTTACGTTGTCATGAATGTACGAAAAAAAAATGATTATTTACGTGGCATCGTACAACTGAGAAAAACTCTATTCAATGATGTCTAGTAAAATTGTAAGATTTCATGCAAATAATTTAGTGCTTTTATTGTGCCACTTTGTGTTGTTAGACTATTAAAGAGGAATTTATGCGTGTTAAAATTTGTTCTGATAAGTCTAACTAAGTATGACATACAAATATAAATAAATAGAAATATGTATATACGTAAAAAAATAAATTTAAATAAGCTTATATAATTACTCATTTCTTTTTATTCATTTATTTTTAGAAAATATATGTATACATATTTTACTTATTGTATACTACATTTACACAGGTACATGGTATGAGAGGCATATTGTGAATACTTTTTAGGCAGTTTTATACATACCATGTATAAAAATATGTTCCGCGATATTCAAAAGGAAATATTTAATCAATTAATAATGTGTTTTTAATCTTTTTTGCTTTTCCTGTATACTTATCATACGAAACAAAATATGTGCTAGAAAATCGCAGAACCGAGTTCCTGTTTGAGTGAGAAACACTGAATAGGCCATTGCCATTTTTTAATGCCAAGTGCATTCATTAATTACAAGTCTACAGTTTTAGGTGAACTTTCATACCATTTAATAGTTTAGAGAATATTAATAGTTGGCCACCAAATATCACTTGTTTGAAAGACATTTTATGTACAGTAGACACTGTATTAACAATAATATATACCGAATAAAAATATACCAAAGTTAAAGGATATATACAAAAGTTAACTTAAATTAATCTTATCCATTTGGCTTGTACACGATTAATCCTGACTTGTGCCAGTGTATTGTCAGTTTGTAGTAACACATTGTGTTACGAACATTATTATGTTTTCTTATGTGAAAAAAAGGATTTTTTTCTGATAATGGTGCTAATGGAAAGGAAACAATAGAAATAATATTAATATCTCCTGATATCAATGACAGTCATTCATCTCTACTGACATTCTATATCTAAGTTATCCTTCATTTTGAATAATAAGTACAAGAAAATTTTTTAAAACGGTCGTTTACATATTAGTAAACTTGTTACTGAAATTGTTGAATATTTCACATATTTCGATCATGATTCTAACGTTAAAAAAAAATACATTAAATATTAAAATCATTAACATCATATTAACAATTATGAAGGCTATTGCAAATGATTAAATTTTAGATTAAATGAAATTATTTTAGATATGTATACATCCTGTAGTATTTAAAAATTTTTTAAATAGAATAATACATTCTGCACCATTATGTAATCCCTTTTTTCTTCTAATGTTTTTGATTTTATAGTTTATAGCTTTTTATTCAAAGTAGATTATTCTGTAAAATTCTTATGCACTTGTATAAAATTGACAGATACTAGAATCATGCAAGCGATAGCCCAAATTACAACAAACACGAGCCAATAATGACTAGAAAACGGACTTGCAAATTTGTTAACAACACCGAGACCTATAACTTTATTTGTCTTTTGCCTAGCATAATACACCAAAAATGTTGGAATCAAATACTGAATTCCTGCTCCAGCGTATGATCCAGTAATTTCAACTAATATAGACAAATCTTTGGTGCTCAGAGCAATTAGATACGGTGGCAACACTGTCAATATTGGGAAGACAAGTTTGTTAAGACACGAATAAGACGCGTCCTCGCCGCGGAATAGCGATTTTAAATTGTTTCTAAGAGTAATAGCTATAATTGGAAAACTCGTACTTAAAGTAAATACTGGAAAGAGTGCCAAAAAATATTCTATAAGAATAATAAAAATATTATTACTTTTGGAACAATCTCCAGACCCGCGGGGACTAAAGTCTAACGTGTAAAGGTCGTCTAAATGTTTAAAAGCAAACGCTCCGGTTAATGCCAATAAAAGATAAAAAAATGCTATCAAAAGGTAATCCAGCGCTAAAAATCGACTTAAAGTAGACTTATTTTCAATTGGAGCGACCAACGCGGGTAAAGAATGATGACACATAAATGAATAAATACAGGCACCAAATAAAGTAGGAATACCTGAAATATATATGTGTAATTACTTTATTTGTTCAAATGCTGGAAAATAAATATTTGATAGTTCTAGAAATAGAAACTAACTGTAATACATTCCCGAGCAAAAATACAAGAAATTTACATAGGAAAAATTTGAACCTCATATAGGAACTACCTCCTACAGGTATAATTTTTTATTTTCCAAAAATTTATTTTCCCATTGCAGAACTCAACTTCTTCCTGTATTAATTTATTGCATTTTACTAGGAAAAGAATTACTCATTGTCCGTGTTTCTAGAATCACTGTATATTTGTTAATTATACCGACAAACTTACCAACGATATTTGCTGCTGGAGGATTTCCTTGTGCACCATGAATGAATAGATTTTTTAAAGCATACACAATCATGATAGTAAATGCAAGCCATCGCATTGCTGATGTTAATAGTTGAAGATACTTGGTCTTTTGAATATTAAAAAATACAAAAGGCCCCAATAACAAAACAAATATACTCTGAAAATAGTATTTTCGTTACCGGACGAGAGCGTAGTAATTAATAATACGTGTATTTAAATTTTCATACTTAACGTACAAGAAATATCCTATATGCATGTTGACGATTAAGAGTGTATTCTTCCCAACAAATTTCAGTATCTGGTATTGTATCATTACACGTATAGTTCATTGGCTGATAGGTACAAGCAACACCAGCTAGAGTCTTTGCAACGGCTGCTCCGTAAATACTCAGATCTCCATAAAGATACGTAACAAAACACAGATAGAATAGAGTTGTGCCAAACTTATTAAAAAAAATTGTTGCCATCTGACCCATCTCTATTTTATCAGAAATTACATAATATCGATATGTCATGTCTGCGTAATCGGGATTATTTAAAAATGGTGTAACAAGCGGAGTATCTTCGGAATCTGAATTTGGCGACCCAGATTCGCCTAAACATTGTTGTACCTACAATTGAAAATTAGTAAAGAATATATAACTTGTATCGATCAAAGAATTATTTTGAACGACTAGTTCGAAAAGCAGATATATCCTATAAAAAGTATAATGTTACTTATAAAACGAAAGACGTGCACATAGAACAATAGATTGAAAAATTTTAGAAACCTCAGATTCTGATTCGTTGAAAGACGAATCTTGAGAAAAACATACTCGCTTTCGATATTGAATGTGTCGCCAAGTTACTATAGCATTGGCAGATGCCATTACCTCGATGACAAATGTAACTGTGATAAAGCTACAAATACAAAATATCGCGTAATTACAATTTGCTTTTAAAGTTAATGGAATTTAATGACATACCTTATGAACGCTAATATTAAAATTATACTTAATCCAAGAGCCCATCCTGCTTTACTAAAAACAGCAGGTAATGTCAAAGCCCCTGTGCCAACGATCAAGTTGAAAACATATATCAAACCGACCTGAAATAATTAGTATACGAAACTTTATGCATGAAACAGAAAAAAAAAGCAATCGTAAAATACCAGTAAATTATTATTATTTAATCGTCAGTTTTTATTTACGGTCAAAGGTTATGTGATACCATATGTCAAAAGCACAGTAACCCCGAGACAAGATTGTTGGCTTACCCACGTCGAATATTGGTCGCCTGAATTTTGATCGGGCATCTCGGCTTCAGTTACAAACTAAAATGAATCAGTCTGCCTGAGATGCTTTGTGTTGTTGTCGAGCATGTCAATCACTGATGCCAGAAAAGCACCGTCGGGTGCACACTCACACATGCCAGATACGCGTACGTGAGCTCGTGGAGTTTCGGAAAGACGACAAAGGCAAACTGACGCATGCCCTCTTCCTCGATTCTCCGAAGCTGCCCGAAGTAATTTCGGACCGCTTCGTGGGAGTCGAGAGTGAAAGGCTCACATTTGCCTTCTCGCTCTTAACAACTGAAATCCGACCTCCCGTCAACGGCATACGATTCGGATTCTCGAGCCGAGATTCCCGACTGCTCAGGCATTTTTACTTTCCGACCTATGTAGGCGCACATAAGCAAAGTACCCATAATGAAAAAAAAATTTTGTAAAATTTATTTTACGGAAATACACGTTTTAAGACCTCCTGATCATATTTTAATTATTGAAAAAAAAGAAATTTTTTTTATTCCCATGTATGAGCACACATATGTATATTATTATTACGATTGAGTATAAATAGCTAAATGAATTTAAATGAAACTTTACATTTAAGATTTATGTTCTCATTTCAAAGTCCGGTTAGACTTTGACTATAATCAGTCCATGGATAATAATGATTATACCTCTTGTTTCATAGTTGTTCCGATATATGTATAGGCATAATGTATAAAAAATCTTTTAAATGTTTCATATAAATCTTAGGACGAATTAAATTTTATATATGTTAGACAGACGCGTTGAATGGAATTAGGAATTAAGAAATACGCAGGGTATTCGTATACATGCTTTATTCCCGTTCTTTCAGCGTCGGAAAAACAAATGAGCCCGTCCTGGGCCTAGACCCTCGCCTTTGTTGTCAGCCTTCTCCCCCATCGGTAGGGGTGGGAGTGTTGACGGACGAAGGCCAGCGCCTCGGCTTGGACCTCGCCTTTTCCCGACGCCTTACATATAAAAAAAATTATATAAACTTTTTCTCTATCTTCTCTAGAAAAGAAAAAATTAAATGAAATCTTATACATTACATGCTTACTTAAGTCGCATTGAAAACGAATACCACAAATGTTTTAGAATAATGTGCAAAATGTGATTACGATTTTCGCTAAGACAAATTGAAAACTCGGTTCTAACAAGGAAAAGTTGGAATGGTACCCGATTTTTGGTTAGGTTTTACTTTCAGATATTATTAAAGTTATTACAGATACTTATCTTCAGAAATAGAAATACATTCAACAACCAGCGTGGCGTGAATGACAAGGTATTTGCCTGCAAGTTCCGAGCTTCTTCTGCTCTGCAGGTTCAAACCCTGCCAAAACAAATCCTTTTTTTTTATTTTTTCAATCATATTTTAATCGTACACTAAATGTGACATTATATTTTTGTCTGACCTTCGAATATTTTTTTTTTTAAAGTTGAATTTAACCAATTACATTTAACATATGTTATTTTCAATGTACGAAGTACATGAATCTGGATGGTACTTTTCGTAAAAACAGTGAAAACATAACAATTTCAAGCACCACCTACATCTAATGAAAGTTCTGTTTTCACAGAAATAACAAAATTTTGTATTTAACTCTGATGGAAAGGCCGCTTCATTTACATTGATAAAATGTGAACGATTTTCGGATAGTCGTACCTTGTAGCTCGTACTTTTTACCTTATACTTCAGGTAAAAAGGGATATTAGCTGGGAAAAACAGTTTTATGACATTACCTGTTAACTTATGTTACTGTTCTACAATGAAACGCTATGTTTTGTACCTTTAAAAATATTCGACTATGTCCTTTTAAAATTTAAGATACAACCCATACTGTCAAACGGGATCACTTTTCCTTTGTTTCTAGTTAGTTCTATTTAGTTTGTCATAACAAATTGATACGGTTATCTCAAAACAATCGAGGAAAATCATTATTAATTAATTTCTGCAATTATTAATTCTACTGTTTTGTTTATGTTGTAAAAGTAAGAACTCTTCTTATTGAAAAATACCACAGCGTGCACAATACTGGTAAAGAGTGGAATCTCATTTTAATTTATTAATTTTCAATCTTAAAGTATTTTGATTTTCAAAAATCGTATTAATAATATACATATGTGCGCTCATACATGGGAATAAAAAAAAATTTCTTTTTTTTCAATAATTAAAATATGATCAGGAGGTCTTAAAACGTGTATTTCCGTAAAATAAATTTTACAAAATTTTTTTTTCATTATGGGTACTTTGCTTATGTGCGCCTACATAGGTCGGAAAGTAAAAATGCCTGGGCAGTCGAGAATCTCGGCTCGAGAATCCAAATCGTATGCCGTTGACTGGAGGTCGGATTTTAGTTGTTAAGAGCGAGAAGGCAAATGTGAGCCTTTCTCTCTCGACTCCCACGAAGCGGTCCGAAATTACTTCGGGCAGCTTCGGAGAATCGAGAAAGAGGGCATGCGTCAGTTTGCCTTTGTCGTCTTTCCGAAACTCCACGAGCTCACGTACGCGTATCTAGCATGTGTGAGTGTGCACCCGACGGTGCTTTTCTGGCATCACTGTCATGTCATCGACCTAGCTATCGTTTTGTACTTTTCCAGCGATGAGCGGAGGGCAACTACACCGAGGGCACACAAAACTACACAAAACCATATTACATATCTATCCTTCGATTTTAAAACTATTTTATCTATAGTTTACATGTTAAAACGTGATTTTATCATAGATTCTACTTCTTTTTATTATTGCAGTAAAATTTTCGAATTGAATGTGTGTTACGCAAAAAATGCGTTAATCATAATTTAAATTAAAATCCGTATCAGACGTACAGTTTATGACGCGTGCAATCGATTTGGTAACCAAAGCGAACTGTGCTGCCAACTAGTTGCCGATTGTTAACTAATCCACGACTGACGATTTAAATATTCTTGCAACGTACGATACTATAAATCACATTTGCGACACGTAATTTTAATTATATAAATGTACTATCTATATTTTGGTATCTCTCAGACATGGCAAAATTTCAATTGAAATAAAAGAAACTGCATTCCTTTCTAATTGATAATTGTATCTTTATTAAGATTAAGTTACGAGTATTTGGAACATTAAATATATGGTTTAAAAGCGTATCGTTTTAAAGTAAAACACGTGTTTTAATGATCATTAAAGAAGCACATTTGAAAGTTTACTGTAAATAAAATTATTTGTTTCATATTAGTCTAAGGTAGCAAAACTTATTAAATCGGTATTTGAATATGTAAATGAATTACGCTAATTGAATGTCTTCAATCGTTAAATTTATTACAGAATTCGAAGATTATTAAATAAAGACATTTTCGTAAAAGGAGTAACAGATACCACTTCGTTGAAAATAATTTTTATTCGACTGAAAATATAAACCTAATTCTTAGAGTAATATAAATTTTTACCACAAATCTTACGTTACAATAATGAATAACGCCAAACAGTACAAAAGCTACATTGTGTATAATTACTACGTGAATTCATGCTAAATGAAACGAGAAGTGATGATCATTCTTTTAGCGCATTTAACTACGATATATATTGGATTGGAAATAAAGGACACGATATTCAGTAAAGGGTGTTGGAAAAGTGTAATTTTAAAAAACACAAGAATCAAAGTAATAATGTTTTTAAGAGTTTTATTTTATAATCCCATAAGTCTAAACACTCTTTAAGGTGTGTATGTACGTCAATGGTCTTGCACAATACAATGGGAATAAATTATAATACTTTGGCTACGCTTGCGGGGTCGAAACCGTGTCTTTTTTTTTTCGTTTGAGCGAGCGTTTGTGGGATACTTTTCTGGGTCAGCGGTCTCCCCCATTAGAAGAAAGGAAAGAGCCATCTTTTCCCTCAACGATTGATAACAGTAAAAAAGGAGAAATTAATAATAAGTCGAAGGCCTATCTCTGCTGGGAATGATGAAATGTCAAAATATCGGATACAAATGTCTTAAATACCACGGAGCAGAATAGCGGAATGCATTTAATCGGAGGATATGAAATTAAGGAACCTTTCGAGCGGTAAGAATCCTCGGTATTGGATCCCATCTTGCGTTGAACGATACTTGGAAATAATTTATGCAATGTTTTTCAGCTCAAACTCGCGAATATTAATATTGGCAAATATAGCATATGCGAGAAAAAAGAGAAGAAATTATTTTCGATTATAGGAGTGGAAACATCGCAATGACATAAAAAAGATGTTCTCGTGAGGGTGGTTAGCTAGAAGCTACCATAGGCATGTTATTTGAATATATAATACAAAGGATTCAATAGGACAGGAGGGTGTTTAGGGATTCGGGGAGGTACGTTTAAGATATAATAGTGTCTAATTAAATGATGAAAAATGAATGGAGCAAAGATGTTTAGGATTGCCTCTGCGCTAATTATGTCCCACGTACATCCGAATCGAAAGAAGCTACCTTCGCCCCGGAGGAACCAAAGGACAATTATTGCGGAAGTTGATGTTACGTCCGCCTGTGAAACGAGACAGAGGCCGCTCTCGGGGTTCGGGGAATGATAGTATGCAAGAGGAATATCGAAGATGCGCTTAGAAGCACTTCCTGTGAACGATGGATGGTCCAGATTCGTCGTATTCTTGCTTAGATATCCACATCTGTTGGAAGGTAGACAAAGATGCCAAAATTGACCCACCGATCCATACGGAATATTTCCTCTCGGGTGGTGCAATGATCTTAATCTTCATAGTTGATGGAGCTAGGGCAGTGATTTCCTTCTGCATTCTGTCGGCGATTCCAGGATACATGGTGGTACCTCCAGAAAGTACCGTATTGGCATAAAGGTCTTTACGGATATCGACATCACACTTCATGATGGAGTTATACGTGGTCTCATGAATACCACAGGATTCCATACCCAAGAAGGATGGTTGGAAAAGTGCCTCGGGACAACGGAATCTTTCGTTGCCGATGGTGATTACTTGACCGTCGGGAAGCTCGTAGCTCTTTTCCAAGCTCGATGATGACGCGGCAGTTGCCATTTCTTGCTCAAAGTCGAGAGCAACGTAGCAGAGCTTCTCCTTGATGTCGCGAACAATTTCACGTTCGGCTGTAGTAGT